CAAATTTTGATAACATTAAGTTGTTAAGTAACTTTTAAATCAATTTTTGTATTTACAGTTGACACATGAATTTATTGGCGGCCATCTTTGATTTTGCTTTTTTCCGGTACAAACGGACACTTTTGCAAGCCGGAAACAAGCAGAAATGAAAAATTCAGGTTCGGTTCCAAAGTACAAGAATCAATCATGAAACCTTTGCCTGACGGGGGTGCAGCCAAATTGGATTTTTGGCCTTTGGCTCATAAAATGTAAATCGTTTTCAAGAAATTAAATTTGACTTCTAGCTACGATCGAGACGCAACTTTTCGACCTCGGATGGCTTTTTTTCATCGAAACGCCAAAGCCTTTGAGAAGTGGCCGAAAACTATGCTGTAAGGTCAAAAACACCTTTATTCTCTCTAGTTACCGTTTGTTATCATCATAGTGACTGTTTTAGTTAAACACAATCTACTGATAATTTGAAAATAAAGTTTAAACATATTTATATATGAACCTATAGTAAGTCTATCACAAGCTAAGCACGAGAGGCTGCTAAACATATGGAGCTGCTATAGGTGTGGAATTCGTGAACGTGTGAAGCTGCTGAACAATACCCTCTACCAGGGCTGCAGGTATTGTGGACATTTTTTGCTGAGGCGACATCAGACCGAAATGACTGTCTATTTATCTAGAGATATATCTGTGAATATCTGTGAAAAATCAATCTGTCGCCCTGGTAGAGGGTAGCTGAACAACACGTTTAGCTTTTCAAGCTTCTTTCAGAAGAATTAAAAATGTTTAACATGCTAAGAAGTGTCGCACATTTAGCTTTGTGATTAGTTTCACCGGTCCCATAGGTTTATTACAATGCTCAACATTTTGGCTTAACACTTCCATTTGTAAACGTGTGGAGCTGTTGAAGGCGTGGAGCAGCCTGCTCGAACGCTGGTGCCCTTCCTTGCAGTAACGCGTGCTTATTTAAAACTTGGACATGACCAAGTTTAAAATAGGCCTATTAAAGATGCAAACAAAATCAATTTTTTTCACAAAAACCGACCAAATGTCAGCATATAGTTTCAAACAGTATAATTAAGAAAATTACCAAAAGGCATTGTTTAATATTACCCCCAAAAAATGATGTCTGAAGGAATTTTTCTGCTAGCTTACTATCCTGTATATACAAGGGGCAGAATAATAGGTCACATTAGTAGGTTAAATTTCTGACCAAAAAAATTAATATATTGTTTATTTCACTGTATTTCAGGCCTACGGGCCAAGAGTACATCAATTGAGTTCTATTTATAATAATACTGAGCAGACTACACAGGAATATATATCATAAACGACACAAATCACTTATCTAAAAAAACATCTCTTAATTTCTCAGCATAATATATAAAGGTCGCAAGTCTTTTATAAAGTCACCTTTATGTGATGACAGAGCAGTCGCTAGTGGCAATGTTGTAATCTCGGAAATATAGCGTTCCCTCAGACCGTTATATAAACTACATGACATTAACACGTGTTCCTCATTCTCAATAATTGTTATGCCATCAGAAAGACATGCAGCACATGCTCTATTTTCTCCACCTACACTGGCATACCGACCCTTCTCAACCTGTAAATAGTGGTTTGATATTCTGAACTTGCAGTAGGCTCTTCTATGTTCTGCTATGGACACAAAAGATAAGTATTCCTCAAATACCAAATCTAGCTTAAATGAGCTGTAGGTCCTTAGCTTGCCTGATTCGCGTACCAATTCTGCCTGCTTATATCCAATAATCGTTGTCTAAACTGTTCTATAAAAAGTTCCACATTTCTACATCCTTGGTTTTCCCATACTACTCCAAATCCATATGAATATAAAAGATGCTTGATGTCACTCGCCCATGTTTGCCTCCCACTACTATCTAAGTCAAACAGTAACTTGTAGTATGACTTCGGTAGCCTACCGTCGTCCATACACAAAAGCTTGAACCAATACTTAAGACATTTGACTTGATAATCTATGTATAGAGGGTAACGACCACATTCCCCAAAAACTGCTTGTGTGCTTGCATTATCCGATACCATCAATAATCTTTTACAAAACTTAACTTGAACATTCTATTGATTCGGATATTTCATAACCCCATATTTCTGCTCCATATGTAAGTATGGGTTTTATTATTGAATCAAATATCAGCATATAGTTTCAAACAGTATAATTAAGAAAATTGCCAGAAGGCATTGTTTAATATTACCCAAAAAAATGATGTCTGAATGAATTTTTCTGCTAGCTTACTATCCTGTATATACATGTACAAGGGGCAGAATAATAGGTCACATTAGTAGGTTAAATTTCTGACCAAAAATTTAAAGAGCAGTCTAAAGCTCTTTTATGGCTGATTGAGTGATTTATTCACTTTATCCCTTGGCATGTCCACTTTAGTTCAGTCGTATAAGAATCTAGTAGAAGTGGTTTATATATGTCAGTGTATGAAATGGCCGCCAGCCCGAGGCTGGTAACTTTCAGGCCGGGAGGGTAAGATTTGCAAATTACCCGCCCGACGGGCTGGCTATTTTTTCAGCCTATTTTCACCTTTTATGTTCACAAGCGAAAATACCCACTTTCATAGAAGCAAATAACTAACCATAGCGCTCGTATCGAAATGTAACCAACAATCTCCCTCTAAGTGGCCTCGTTTCGAAGTTCCGTCTGTATGATATGAAGTTGAAAGACAATTTGAAACGAGGCACATTGTTCTTAACCAGCTTCAGTGCACAGCATTGTTTTGGGACCCATGGAAAGGTGATTTAGATTTGCAATGAGTCGAGCGGCAACATTTTTTTAAAGCGTAACTCGAAAGTGTCACGCATTGCGACCGAGCGCAAGCATCTTGATCCAATAACTCGCCCATACTCGCCCCATATAATATATTGTAGCCTCTATGTGATATAGCTATTCTCATTAAGCGATGCTTTCGAGATACGGGGCCCTGCAGGTCTGTCTATGGGCCATTAGCGTGCAGGACTGTTCCCGACCGCTTTTTAAAGCTTAAAAGCGATATTCAAAGGGACCCTACGTGCTGAATTCTTTCTTCTTTATTGTCAGCACAGAGATCGATTTATTTGACAAGAATATATATATATATATATATATATATATATATATATATATATATATATATATATATATATATATATATATATATGGTCATACTTGTTGCTATACAGAAAAGCAAAAATTATGATCAAATGATATCACGAAATCGGAATAAAAGTTGTGAATAAATTATTGAAGAAGAATGAGACAGCCTGCAAGGTGAACATAAACTGGATTGACTACCCCCCCTCCCCCGCCCGCTAAAGGGCCCTGAAAATTTTTGGTATTTTAGATGGTGAATGGTGCCATTTGGTATGGTTTAGAACTACATATGTACGATTCAACTAGTGAATATGTGTTACTGGCAATCAACATTATGGTAACGTTATGGGTGTTTTTAACTCCATGCAAAATGATGTCCCAGATGACAGAAAACATTATAGTAATTTGTAGAAATATTTGAAGACCGTTTCTACAAAATTTTATTATAATGTTATTTGTGGAGTTTTATCAGCGTTTTTATAACATTCTAGAAAAACGTAATATAATGTTTTGAATTTTTTTTTCATAAATAACCAAAACACGTCTTATGCTGTATGAACTACGTACAGTTAGGCTACGGGTTAATTCCAAAATGGGCTTGGGGTTAGTCGGCGACTAGAGCGTTGCGAATTGTAGCTAGAATATTCGGACTATCGGTACCGAAATAACCAGCATGTGATGAAAGCTTAAATAAACTATTATAATGAATACCCCGCCGTCATCCTGGTGTTCTGTTGTTCATTACTTCCGGAAAAAATAGACATCAATACCATAACTCATTTTATCAAATTATGAAAAAAAGGTGTTTTAAGGTAAAAGTGATAGTTGTTTTGTGTCTGTAGTGAACAAGTGAATTTTCGTACTTTGTTTTTTCAGAAATACATTCCAATAAACTTCCTGGCAAGTTCAGCTAACACAAGAATGAATAACCCTTGCTGTAAAAGTTATGGTGTAAAGTCAACGATGTTGACAGTTCACGGTACCCTGTTATGGATAGAGATAGCTACAGCAGTTAAAGGTGACCGTGAGTTCGTGTGTGTGTGAATGTGTGTGTGACTAAAACATTTGAAACCCTTAGCACCTAAAAGTTAAATAAATATATCTACATTTATTAGGCGTCAAACGCCTCAAAGCGTGTAATATGTTAAGGAGCTAAACGCCTCGAAAAAAGAGACAAAACAGGCGCTTAGAAATGTGTTTAGGAGCTAAACTGTTTTTACAGTGTACATGTACATGCATACATTTAACTCTGTGGTGCAAAGTGCATGATAAGGTCAGAAGTTATTGATGCATGTGAGTTGTTCAAAGATATGTGGGATTTTGAACAGATATATCAAGGAGACAAAATTTGTACTTTTTGAAAAAATGAAGTTATTAAAAATATCAAGAAAAAAGATTTTCTGGTCCCAGCTGTGCCGTTCTCTCCGAAATGCGACTGTTGTGAGCGAGTGCCATCTGACACTGTCGAGAAGTATGTTTTTTTAGAAACTGAACGGTTCTCTACACCTCAATCCGCCACCTATCTATTTCAAAACGGGGCGGAGGGGGTGTGTGTCTCTGTTCACATATGGTTTCCATTACGCTTATCAAGAGCCTGAGACGGAAAACGGTGCCATTGTAGATAAAAAGGAAAATTAATATATTTAACACATAAATCATATAAAATGCAACTGTAAACCCTGACGAAGTCGGTCTTTCATGTTTACACGGAAAAGCACTTAGTCCACAAAAACCACTCGCTGTCCCATCTATTAACACCTGGCCTGTAGTGCCTGTGGCCTGTGGTGCCGTTTCCACCATTTTCTGACCTGTCCTGCCGTTTCTCCAAAAGCGAGGTACTATTTATGGAAGGGGAATTCCCAAATGACGTCATCATAGCGCATGCGCATTATAAGAAAACATTAAAGTCTGGTTTAGTTGCTAGTGGAGATCCTCAAAGGACTGCAGAGAGTTATCTTTAACCATCTCATGGTGAGTTAAACATGGTTTATTTTTAAATTTTATAACATATGAAATAAGCTACGATGTAGAGCAAAGTTTGTCCAAACGTTTACATACCGTAACCACATTTGCACTAGACTGCTGACATCAACTACACGTATTGTATTTTTAAAAATCCTTCCCTCTTCAGTCTCTTTCTAAGCGACCTACCTAATATTTTTTGATGTTTATAAAGAAAATGACCCTGCCTATTTAAATAACAAACCTGTAAGCTGCCTCATGTACGCTGACGACCTGGTCCTCATCTCAAAAAGGGCCGTAGGACTACAACACTCCCTAAACCTACTCCACAATTACTGCGCCAAATGGAAACTTAACATCAATATATAGCAAAAACCAAAATCATGATATTTAATAAGGCTGGCCACCTCTTGAAAACCAACCAATTTAAGTTAGGCACAAATCCGGTAGAAATTACCTCCAAATATTGTTACCTCGGTCTGACCTTCACTCCATCTGGCAAATTCACCAAGGCTATGGAGTATCTTAAAAATAAAGCACTCAAAGCATTTTTCAAATTAAGAAATCAGCTATTTTCAGCGCCCACTAAAATTGCCTAAAAGTTATTCAAATCACTCCTACTTCCAGTCCTTAGCTACTGTATGGGTGCGAAACTTGGGCCCCTTACTTACTACGTAATTTAATATGACCATTGAAAAAAATTTTAAATATATGCGAAAAGCCCCCTGCTGAACTCGTCCACCTAAAAACCTGTAAAACAATATCTAGTAGATGGTCAATCTACTTTAGTCACTGATGCTCTGATTGAGAACAGATCCTTGTCCTCTTCTGGTGTGTTTACATGGTCCTCTGGTATAAAAACTGTTCTTAACATGAACAACCTGGGAAAGATATGGACAAATCCAGTTTCAATACCTGCTAAGATAGCTCAGGCCCTGACCAAAAAGTCTCTGCACTCTGTATATCAGGACCAGTGGGCTACATTGATGAGCAGAACGGGTAGTGATAATAAACTAAGAACCCATGTTGAATTTAAGAAGGAATTTGTGTGTTAAAATTACACCCACATATGGCCCCAGAAAATAACTTCTGCAAATTACGTGTGAGCGCCCACAATCTCTCTATTGAATGGGGCAGGTACTGCAAGCCAAAAATCCCTGCAGAGTTGAGATTTTGTAAACTTTGTGATTCAAATAAAGTAGAAGATGACTTCCACCTCCTGCTAGAGTGCAAACCATATGATTCAATATGTGATCCCTTCAGAGGGCAGCTGTCAGAGTTCCTACCCCTAGGCGACCTCAGCAATAATGAACTGTTTAATTTTCTTATGGGTGCTCAGGACATAGATATTCTTAGAATGGTTATGTGTGTTGTAAATAGATGCTTCCAACAAAGAGAACAGGTCCTCTCTTAATACATTGTACTCTTTCCAGTGTATTTATTCAAATTCATCACCTATAGATTATCATTATACATTTCATATATATATCTTTTTTTATAAACTAACTTATTGGTATTGTTCTACATGTAAACATTGAAGTCATATATATTTATTCATTTACTTGTTTGTACTGTTATAGTTAGATGTAATGTCTTTGATTGTACCTTATTTGTGAAGGTGTATCAATAAAGAATCCCAGGACATGTATCTAGTAAATGTCGATTTATAGTGGCCTTGGTAACAGTTACAAGAGGGTGCAAATCAGAAGTGTTCAACCACTAACCCCTAATTAGGTGATAGGCACGTGTGGCTGTGTTTGATCCCCTGCTGGGAAGGAGTAGGGACCTCTTTCGTCTGATAGTTATCACACTTAAATGTCTTCTAGCTTGCGGCTAAGTGTCGTTTGCACTGTCTTCAAGAATTATATATCATTATTTTTATTGTTGACATTGCTGTTGTTTTTCTTTACAGCACAATCTTTACTCCTTGCAGACACCTGTTTTAAAATTGACATTCTACTGGCACCTGAACTCGCTGTGTCATCTATTATCCACTGCTCTGTGATGCCGTTTTGATTCTCGTGACCTGTGGTGCCGTTTCCACCATTTTATGTCCTGTCCTGTCCTTTCTCCTAAGCAAGTCGGTGTTATATGTGATAAACGGGTACAATCTCTGTCCAGGAAGTAACAGGACAGAGATTGTGAGAAAATGCTAAACACATGTGACAAAGAAAGAGGTATGATCCAATCGACTTGTAGGTATATGGAGCAAGTGCTAATGTGATCTCCAAGCTACAGCACCAGCAGTGAACACAAAGTTAAGCATTCGCTGACACTTTAGTTGTGACTGAGAAATTGAACGATATACTATCGAAATGGAAGCCATGTTAGGGCAGTCTAGACGAGGTGTAAATCCAAGATCAGGACAGGTGACAGTACAGACACAACCTCCATTAGCTGAACAGGAAACAAATACAACATCAGCTACACATCCTCATGTTTTCTTAGAGAAGGCAGAATGTGTGCATTCCTTCAGTGCTGTAAAACAGACAGATGAGAGAAGAATTGGCATATATGGGCTAGCCGTAGATAAGGAACACTTGTTCATTGTGGATAATGAACATGACAGAACAAAAGTATTCACGCATAAAGGGCAGTTTAAGTTTGACATTGAAGTAAAAATTCCATATGATGTGGCTGTGTCACAGACTGGTCACCTGTATATAACATCTAGGGGTGACAGATGTGTCCAAGTGTACTCCACCAGAGGTCAGCAGGTGACAACCATGGGTCAGGGTCTACTGGAGGATCCACGGGGTATTACACTGAACAGAAAAGGTCATGTGATGGTTTGTGACATGAGAAAGAAATCCATCTTCACATTCCATGCAGACAGTGGACAGCTCCTGAACACTATTTCCCTCAGTATGTGTGAGGAACCAGAGTATATCACAGTAAGCAGTTTGAATGAGAACATTGTGATACAAGACTGGTTGGGACAATGTGTACATGTGCTGTCACCTACTGGTGATCATCTGTACCAGTGTTTCACAAGAGAAGGCAGTGGTGATCTTGAGCCAAGGTTACCACATGGAGTGTGCACAGACAGCTATGGTCACATCTTCTATGCTGACATGGATAACCACAGTATAGTGGCACTGAGTCCAAAGGGACAGTTTATCAGATACATTGTCACTAAGGATGATGGGTTGAAGAATCCCAATTCAGTAGAAATCAACCCTGCTGGCCAAATGGTGGTGGGAGAAAGAAATGGTGCTGTGAAAAAATTCAAGTACGTTCAACAGAAAGAAGGTGAGAGGCTATCAACTTTTCATTAATTTATGCCATTTTTTGTAAAATTTTCATTTTTATCACTCAGATCTGGCATTTTCTTTGTGTGAACTTGAACTCTGATGGGCCTGATGCCTTATCCTCGTTACATATTTTACTTACAGTGGTATTACATGTTGTGCATAATTAAAATTTGATGTTGACTTTGCTTAAGCATGATGTTTTGTTGCATCACAATTGACACTAGACTTATATTGGATGATTTTTAAAAGTTACTGTCCCTGTGATTCGTCTGCTGAGAACCTGCTTTCTTATCAAATTATTCATAGCATTAGAATTATTATACTGTATTTTTAATTTGAGAATATTATTATGCAATAATAGCGCAATTTACGTGTAACAGTGCATTTTAGATGGCATGCCACTGATAACTGCCATGTTAAACTATCAAAACTATTTCCAAAAGGGACAAAAAGATAATTATACAGGGGAGGAACCAGGATTATTTAAAGGGGGGGGGGTTGGACTTTTCAGGAATGACAAGCCTCGGATGCAAAGCCGACCCTCGGCCCCCTTGGAATGTTTTGGAGGGCAAACAGTGCCACTGGGAACAGATGAGAACTATAAATCAGCTAGTCAAAATTCTAATTCCAGGAGGGGAATATCAGTGTTATTTTTTTTCAGAAACCGAAGGGGGAGGGGGGTGTCAGGACCGCCCTGACCCCCCACCCCCACCCCCTCTATTCCGCCACTGTTATATAACTGTTTTTACACAAATTTACAAGGCGTGATGACTTAGGAGGTTGATTTTTTGTGACAATCTTTTAACCTGGAACCAGCTATTGGAATGACGGGTGAACAATCCCGTAGTGCATTATTTATTGAACATAACATTTTACTCATTCTCATAGCAACGCTTATTTTACTCTCCCCTTGTGGTTTTTTTATAGGCATGCCTTTGGATCTGAAATATTTCATTTTAAATGTCCACTTTGTATTTAAAACAATATAGTGATGTTTGGTTGAGTTTTGTAGCAGGACTGTGACTAAAAATGCAGCTTTAATGTTTCAGATCAGTTTTCAGAGGAAATCAATAGACAAGACCCACTACTGCAAGAAGCATATCAAGGAGCATGTAAGGATGGCTTTGAAAGAGTGAAGAGGGCAAGGGTGATGCTGCTAGGCCATTACGGTGCAGGTAAAACACGCCTGAGAAAGCGGCTACTCGGACAAGAATATGATGAAGAGAAAGATCCAATCACTAATGGTATAGAAACTGACTACGTTCTTGTAAAGGAGGGTTGGAATTCAGATGAAGCTGGTAAGAATAACTGTAGCAATTCACACAGAAAAAAATGTTTCAATATCAAAATTCATTTATCACCTAAATCTTAATTTTAATGGACAATTTAAGGACACTTCTTTTAATAACTCCTTGTTTATCATTTATTTGCAGTTATCTTAATATTCAGCATTTATTTTCTACTTGTTCATCATTTAATGTGCCTTTGTATATAAATGTGTATTTCATGACAAATAATAAAATTATTATTTTAATTTATAGAGTGTCATGGGCCAGCAATATCACATTTGCTTGCTGTTAACACAAGAAAGATACATGAAGAAATCCGGGCAAGTCATGCAGGTACGGTAGTATGTGTACAATTATCTACTAGAACTAGAACATGTCTAGGTAATACTGCCTTGATGATTAACTGCAGAAACATTTTGCTAATTTGAAACAAGAAACAGTAAGTCAAAAAAGGAAAAAAAATATATATATAAATATATAATGTAAGATGATATTAAAAATACGATGAAATGCATATATTCTTGGAATCCTTTTAATGAACATTGAATTAATTTGAATTTTTGAATGAATTACTGTAGAGCTAAAAGGTGGTCAAGTTGTGGAGGCAACTAATGCACCAACATCAGAGAAAGTGGAGAAATGTAAGTACTCTGAGATGTAGTGGTAAATAACTTGCAGGAACATGAGTTAGCTCAAGTCAAAAGCTCCTATACCGTCCTAAAATGTCATCCTGAAGTTCTCTGTAGAAGAACCCCAATTGTGATGGTCTCTTTGTGTGTAAGAAAGCCATTTAAAACAATCCTTAGTCTGTTTCCATTTTATTTATTTATTTATTTATTTATTAAGTTTTATATTTATTTATTTATTTATTTTTTGTTGGTTAGATAACTATTGCACAATAACCCACTTTTGGCGGGAACGGTAGTGATGGATCAAAATGCATACTGATTGTAACAAAAAACACTGAATCAGTAATTTACCAACATCACCTTATCTTGTTATATCAATGTTGTACATACATTACTATTTTACTTTTTCTCTTGACAAGCTTCATCAAAGCCTCCAGAAAAGCAGTCTGGTGTTATTCAAGAGGAAATTATAACAGGTATATGAAATAATGAGTGTTCGCTAATCAAACATTTTACAAAAACAAAAAAAAAGAAATCCATGCAAATACATTAAAAATGCAGCATATGAGAATTATGACATAGTGAAAGGATAAGAAGTTGCATAGTTATCTGAGATATTTATCTTATAGGTTTTGGTGGATTATGCATAAAGATGCACACACTGCACAAGAATGAACGGAAGAGACCCAAAAGTGGTGCTTAATTTGCAATGTTTATGATTTCTTTAAGATGTTTCTCTCTTTTTATGGCAAGTTGCTCCAAAGCTTGAAGATGAGATAACTTCATCGACAGAAAGACACATTTTAGTATCACAAGAGAAGGAAAGGGGTACTACAGTAGTTTTGTCACATCTTAGACTTCAGATTGATCTAGCCCTGACTGGAGTCTCACTAGATTACTGTCAGCTTAGCCGGCTTAAGCGTCTGTCCCGCCTACTAAACCC